CACAGAGAGCTCAGGTTGCTTAGTTTGCACCTGGATCAATAATTAACTCAGCAAATTAACTGGTGAGCAGGAGGAAAATGTTGCACGGATGGAGGTGCAGCGGGGTCTGAGGTGCAGCATTCACACTGTGTGCCCAATTGGGCCGGTGTTTTTCAAACGTGGCCACTTTTAGGTCTGGGGGTTGAAGTCCACACACCTTAAATTGGCCAAGTTTGAAAAAGACTGAATTAGGCTAACAAGTGGGAAATACTAGGAGATGTATGAATCAGAACATCATGTTAAGCTGTAGCTGGTTTATTCATTTGGGCATTGGATGGTGGTTTGTTAATTCAGGCTTCTGGAGTTCCCCCAGGGGTTTGGGCCAGGAGGTTAATGGGGTTCTGCTGGCTAATGTTTATTATAAGTTCAAATGCTGATTTATTTACTTATTAAATGAATTTATATGGCCACTCATCTCAATTGCTGTTTGTCACCTCAGACATTTATGATTTGGATTGTTTAAAGGGTTGTTCTTAACTTGCACGCAACCACAGAAATCATTTGAATAAATAACTAGGAAGTAGAAATCCAAAATATAATTTAAATGTATTTATCCAATATTTTGTGTCCTTGATAGGAGTTGATCCAGAAGGTTCTCCTGAATTTCCCCCAGGTGCAGATAAGTCAGCCTATCTAATAAGATACTCTCCCTCTTCCCAGACATTGGTGGGTTCATAAGACTTTATTTTGGTTTTTTCTTTGGAGAAAGATGCTCAGTAGTTACATTAGTCACCTGTGTTCTGGAAGTTTCTTTTGTTTTCCATTTCAGATATGTAAGCTGGAAATCTTTCGTGTTTCCTCTGGAGACTAAGGTATCTTCTAAGTGAAGAGGGCTGAATGGCCTTGGGAGACTTGTCCAAGACCTCTTCATGAAGTTCAGGCCTTGTGAATAGAAAGACCTGTGGAGATCCATTGGCCCATTTTGGAGCTGGATTAGAAAACAGAGAGAAGATGGAGGGGCAACACCCAGCAGATGGAGGACCTAGAAAAGGCCCTCCAGCTGCTCAGCCTTGGAGCTGTGGGAGGAATGGGGCAAGTCCTGGGCAGAAGACCCAAGAAGAGGAAGCCAACAGTTCAGCAGTCCAGTACTGTCACTTCAGAAAAGGGTACTTCCAGGAGGTGACAGGGCACCAAGATGTTTGCAGCCACCCCACCCCCTTTTCCATCAGTGGCTGCAGCCAGGAAGACACATGAAGGCTCAGATGCTGGATGTGGTGCTCCTGGAGCAGTTCCTGGCTGTCCTTCCCCCAGAGATGGAGAAATGGGTGTGGGAGTATGGAGCGGAGACCAGTTCCCAAGAGGTGGCCCTGGCCGAAGGCTTTCTCCTGAGCCAGAAGGAGGGAAAGATGCAAGAAGAATTGCAGGTGTGAGAATGTAATTGTAGCAGCTCTAAAGAGGAGTTTAAGGTAATGATCTCTCTGAATTTGTAAATATGTCTCTGACAGGTTTTCTGGGATTATGAACTCCTAAGGCCAATTGTTTCATTCTTCTTCCAGAGGATATATTTGGGGCAATTCTTCCATTTTTGCTTTGCAGTTTCAGTGATGGACATTGGGGTCTGCTAGTTGAGGGTGCAGTATGAGAATTCATTTCTTTCCCTGTATTCTCCCCTTGTTTCTGCTGGGACATCACTCCAGAAGTCCTTGGAAGCTGTCACTGAGTAGCCCAAGGGAAGGAAAGATTCATCCAAACTCTCTCAAGAGCTGCTGTTCAAGGAGATCTTCCAGAAAGATCAAAGTTAGGACACCATGCCAGGTAACAGAAGCTCCTTCCGTGTGGTGTGAGGTTTGACATCTAGCTAACTCTGATTTTTTTGCTCCTCTTGGGTGGAATATCTATTTTTCTTTTATTTTGTTTTAACAAATCTGTTTCCACCATCTTCCTATCTCTCACAGAGAACAGAAAGCTGACCTTGGTATTTTTAGAATCACCTCCTCTTTGAGGTGGAGCTGAAAGAGTGGCTGAACCTTTGCCTCAGGTAGGAGGAGAAACATCAGAAAAGATCCATGAATCTTGGAGGGTTTCATTTTATTCTGGAGTTCAGTGTATAATATTGTTGTTTCTAAGCAACATGAAATTTATATTTTGAATTTAAACACCGCCCATCTCACGAGGAAGTGACATAGTGAAATGGGAAAATTTAGATCAGGTCATTGAACATTCACACCCAGCTTAGCCTACCTTTCAAGAATGTTGTGAAGACACAAGAAAGAAAATCAATTGTAACCCCTCCCCCCATGTAAATCTTTCCTTTTTTGTATTTTACAATAATTAATGTAAGAACTATTTCAAGCAGTTAGAATAAAATCATGAGAGAGATAGCAACAGTTAAAAGGAGCCTCCATCCTTTCCTTTATTCCCTTGGAAGAATTCAATCTCATGTTCCTAAACGTACAAATTGATGTATTTCAGTTTTCAAAAAGGATCTTTCTGCACCATATAAAATTTGTGTTTCTACCAAGTGACAAATTATATGGTAACCAGAATGAATAGATGTTTCCAAGACTATAAAAAGATCTAATAAAATGGCCAAATAAAATGTCTGTTAATAAAAATTATGCCCAAACAGCTTGTAATCAAAGCACTTAGACCTTGCCAAGGAATTTCTAACAACCTGATTTGTGCCTGGATGCTAGCCAGCCCAGCTTCGCAAAATCTGAGAAATTTCTTCTTAGGAATGTTCTTAGCTCCCTAGTTCAGACTGTGAGCAGCTTCCCTAGAATCTGAAGAGAACCAGACATTGGTCTGTGTCTCATCTGCATCTTGATAGTCCTCACACAGATCCCTGGATGAATTCTATTAGCCATTTGAGGTAATCCAGACAAGAAGCAGGATAATGAATTCTAGCTCTACTTCACTGTAAGGTTGCATGAACAGAATCTTGTAAGTCTGAAAGTATCCCTCCTATCCCTTGCTTTTATTCTCCTGAAACCTAGGGAGGGTCCCTTCTGATAAACTTCATCCACCCCTTCTGCTTCAGCTCAGATTTCATTGACCAGACTGTTGTTTCGGCTGTGGCTCTTCCTCCTGTCTCCCAGGATCATTCCCTCATGCCCTTACAAGCTTTCCCAACACTTTCATGAAGGTATGGAGTGTGAGCAGGTCGGTCCCTCAGTGGACAAAGCAGGCCATGGGAAAAATGTCAGATAGGTTTCCCCAGTATTTCCTTCTGCCCTCACTAGGAAGAATTGGAGCCACTGGTAAGTAGTGGGTCTAAGACTCAACTGCCAGTTGATCAAGAAGACTATTTTAGTTGGTTTCACTGAAAGGCATTCCAAGTCCTGCAGTAAATTTGATAAAATGTGCTCCAATTGTGCTGTCAGCCAAAAGCTGTGAGATCTCATTTTGAATCCTGCAGAATATGCCCATTTCATTCACTGCATCTCTCTCCTGAAATTGGTAGAAGAGAACTCTCAAATTCTTCTTGGGGTTGTCTGTTAATAGGGAAACTTGTTTACTTGTTCAGGATCTTGTGTTCTTCAAGGAAGTGGATGCGTATTTCTCCAAGGAGGGGTGGTGTCAGCTGGATCCTGACCAAAAAGCCCTCCATGGGGAAGTCATGCTGGAGAATTCCAGGAATCTGGCTTCTCTGGGTAAGGACCTCTGTTTGGCTCAGAAACTTGGAGAACGCATTTGGGGGTTAGATGTAACCAGCTAATAAAAACAGCCCTGGTCTATGGAAAAAGAAAATTACAAGTAGCCCTTGCTTAATGACAGTTTAGTGACCGTTCAAAGTTACAATGGCACTAAAAAGCTATTTACAACCGGTCCTCACAATTAGGACCATTGCAGCACCCCTGTAGTCACATGATCACGATCCAGCCTTGGCAACCAGATCGCACTTAACAATGGCTGCAGTGTCCCGGGATCATGTGATCACCATTTGCAATCTTCCCAGCCAGCTTCTGGAAAGCAAAATCAATGGGGAACCATGTGATTCATTTAATGACCATGTGATTTACTTAATGACTGCCACAAAAGTTTATTTATTTATTTAACCAATTTATATAGCCATCCATCTCACCACAGGCAACTCTGGGTGGCATATAACAAAGCTAAAACAAACAATAAATACATTAAAAGTATAAAAATCAAAATAGAACAAAGAACAAAAGGATGTTAAAAATAACGGAGCCACCTCACTAATTCCCCAGTCCCCTGGGGTCCCCAGCCCAGCTGGCATAGCCAGGTCTTGAGGGACCTCTGAAAGCTCACAATGATGAGGCCAACCTCACCTGAGGAGAAGAAGATTCCACAGTGTGGGCACCAGAGGAGAAAAGGCCTGCTGCCTATGGCCCACCAAATGTAGCTCCCTAAGCGTAACGTGGCCTCTCTGCTGGATCTGGTAGGATGGGCAGATGAAATCAGGGAAAGGCGGTCTCTCAGATAGCCCAGCCCAATGCCATGAAAGGCTTTAAAGGTCAACACCAGCACCTTGAATTGGACCAGGTGTGATGAAAAAATAATAAAGCAGGAAACTCTTCCCCCCTCCCCCTTGCCTCTCTTTCTGCCCCCCCTTGCCTCCTGCAAACTCTTTCCTCCACTTCCTTCTGCCATTCTTTGCTCATGCAAAACAGGATCAGCTCCAAGCTATTGCATAACCCAAGAGTGACCATGTTCCGCTGCCAAAAAATAGCCCCCTTAACACTATCATAATGAAACAGTGGGAAGGCCACCACCTGTCTGCTTAAGGGTTTGCCAAAGGGGTAGATAAGGAAATCCTTTGCTAATAAGTGAGAAACCACAGGAATCCCATCCTTATTAAGCAACATTCCATTCTCTTTTGCAATAGATTGACTCCGCTAAGGTGTGGTTCTTATCTCACAATAGAAAAACCATTTATCCTCCATTTAAAACCTTTCCAAACCTATCCTCGAATCAGATCCCTCAGATTTACCACCTCTCATCCTCAAAAGTGTATAAATTCTATGCTTTTCAGGGTCCCTCTTGGAAAGCAGGCACCCAATGATCATTGCAATAAACATGGTTCTTCTCAACGTTGTGCTCCTGTCTTTGGCAAAAATTCCACCACACAGGAAACAAACTGGTAACCAATGCAGCTCATGAAGCAGAGATGTAATGTGCGTTCTACTAAAACACACACATAACTGCTCATGCCACTGTATTTTGTACCAGCTAAAGTTTCTGGATACTCTTCAAGAGCAGCCCCATGTAGAGCGCGTTGAAGTAGTTGAACCAGGAGGTGACCAGGGCATGAGTGACCATGGGTAGGTCCCTCTGATCTAGGAATGGGCGCAACTGGTGCACAATACGAAGTTGTGCAAAGGCCCCCTAGCCACGACTGCCACCTGCTCTTTGAGCAGAAATCATGAGTCAGGAGGACCACCAGATGCAAAGATGGTAAAGCTCTAGAACCAGAGGGGCTCAAAACCCAAAGACACTCAGTCTTGCCAGGGTTTAGTTGAAGCCTCTTGTTGCCCATCCAGATCCTCACAGCCTCCAGACACCAAGATAGAACACCCACAGCATCACTTAATTCACCAGAGGTGATGTACAATTGAGTATCATCAGCATACTCAGTTTGATTTAAATAAAATTAATTAAATATCAATGATGTGGTTCCTTTCCAGGCATGTATTAAATCCTCTTCCTCTTTGGTTGTATTAAAAATTCACCGCCCAGAGTGACTAGGCGCGTTTCCTTCCTGAGGTCCAGAGTTTTGGTGCTGCCTGGGCAGGAGGGTTGCAACAACCCCACCTTCTTCACTGGAGAGTTTGTTGTATAGATAGGAACTGAAAGCAAACAGGCGTGTGGGTGTGTCAAGCCAGGAAGACCACAGAGATCCGGGAAAGAGAAAACCTCCAAGCTAAAGACCAGCACCTCAGCAGCCGTCTTCTGGCAGCAAGAGAAAATTGCAATTCTTGGAGCTGCAAGACCAGCTGAGAGGCAGAGCTGAGAATTGGGGGAGGAAAAGAGCCAGAAACAAGTCTGCAAACCCAAGCAAGCCCACTGCATGCAGCTGCCCGGGGCAGAGATCCACAAACCAGCTCCAGCAACGGATGACTGTGCTGGGGTGTGGGGGAGAGAAAAGCCCATTCACAAGTCTACAGAGGAGTTTTCATGTGCAAATGGACTGAGATTGGCTACAAGAGCTGAAGACCTGGGGGGGGGGGAGTTAAAGAGCCAAGAAATAGTTAAGACAGGAAAACATAGTGTTACAAACATAGAGATAGGAAAATAAGAGATAGAATTGTATAGATAAAATAAGATAGAAATAGTTATAAGCTTATAGGAAGACAGCATAGAAGCAAGCATAGAATGAATTCTAAGGCATAGAACTTTAGAATTAAAGAATAGGAGTTTAAGTTTGTACAATAAAACAGTTTTTGTGGGAAAAAGAAATGCTGCCTTTGAGTCTGTCTTCTGTACCATATTAAGAAAAACCCTAACCATTACTAACATGAAAATTTTTGGAAGGATTTGGCATATCAGGGTTTCAGAGGCTCATGCTGGTTTGAAGCTGTTTATTCAAATACTGGTCATTGATGGTTGTGAGTTAAACTAGAGAAAAGGCACTGATTCTGGTTTTGCATCCATTGTCAATTTTTTCATTACACAAGTGGAAATCAGATTGGTAGACGTACAAAATTAAACAGCAATTAGAAGGAACCTTGATAGGTAAAGAAATTAGCTGAAAAGAACGGGCTTTCCACAAGAATGAGAAGTTAACTTCTTTTTAAATTCCTTTTTAACTACTTTTTCCCCTCCATTTCAATTCTTTGTATTGCTCACTGTAGCCAAATCTTTTTTCTTGCACTGTCACCTCCAAATGCAGAGGACTCTCTTCAAACTAGTCGAGTCTTCGCCTCTTGGCTAGAACAAAATTTGAACTTTCTTTGTTTATTCATGAACTAAAGATGTTCCAGTTGCCTTAAATCCTCCAAAAGTCTTAACCTTCCTACTTATATTTCTTGAGGAGCATTCCCTACTCAACCCCTAAGTAAAACATTTTTTTCTTTTTTTGGCTCATTGAGCTTTATATTCACTTTTCATTATTTGCCTTCCCTCATTTTGTAATTCCACCTTTTCTCCAGGCACATACGAAGGGGGACCCCAAAAAACCCAGAATTTATTTATAAAAAATTGTGTATTTATTTTTACATGTTAAAACTTCAGTCACCTTCAAGGTACTCTCCGTTTGATGCAATACATCTATCGAGACTTTTTTCCACTGCTCAAAACAAGTTTTGAACTCGTCAATTTTGAACTTTTAGTGCTTCTGCCGTTTTTTGTTTCACCTCCTCCACATTGGCAAAACATTTCACTTTGAGGATTTTTTTCATCCGGGGAAACAAGAAAAGTCGCACAGGGAAAGATCCAGTAAATAGGGAGGGTGGGGCACAACGGTCGTGCCGTTTTTGGTCAAAAACTGCTGAACACTCAGCGCGGTGCGTGCAGGTATCAGGGTCAGCTTCCAACTGCTCCTTCAAAGCACAGCATGCAGTCAAGCGATTGTCCCTCTGTTCAGGTGTGAGCAAGTGAGGCACAAATCACTCATCATGAAATAGGCAAACGTGTTGAAAGAGTCTCTTAAAAAATACTCACTGAAGCCAAATGCAGCCTCTCACAACAACCCAGCTGGTACACTGATGCAGATGGGTTCCTAGAACACTCACCTAGTGGGGGAAGCCTGTACTACAAGGGGCCTGCCCTCCAGAAGATACTGTAATTCCCTTTTTTTCCAGGTCCCCCCTCGTATGAGACGCCATTTCTCCCACTCTTAATTTCTTCACCGCTGTGCCTTTTTTGAGGTAAAATCTGTAGAAGGTCCATGAGTTTAAGCTTTTTCTCCAGTTTGGAACTTTGATATTTCTTTTTTTTCAGGATTATTCTCATCACAGGCTGCTACCTGTTATTTCAAACCATATTAGCCACTCAGAATCATGAATTTGAGAAGGACAGCTTTATAAATTGAACTAATTAACTAAAAACCAATACAAATCTTCATTTTCCTAATCTGCGGCTTCCCTCCCTGTGTCCCTGCCTGCCCCCATCTTCCATCACTTCAGGCCTGAGTTTGCGAACAAGACACAAGCTGTGTTTCAAAGAGAGGCTCCTTGTTTTTGATTTTCGACCCAGCTACGTCACAGCCTCGAACATGATGGAAAAGCCCCATCTCCCAGCCCCTCATCACAAGTCAATCACAAAGACTATTGCTTCGGGGTCTCCTTGCAAGAAACGGCTGTTCAGAGAGCCCCTGGGTTGATTTCACAGATTCTCCTTTACATCCGGAGAATTCTTCAGGCTACAGGGATCCTGCCCTAGCCCCCACAACTGTGGCGTTGATTCCCAGACAAAGGAATCGGTTAAGCAGCCATTGGTCCCCCACCAGAAGTCTGACCACCCTGCCATTTCTGACAGGATTTTGCTGATTTTTGAGGCCTCAAATCTCTGCAGATCCTTTGCAGCAGCTGTTCTTCAGGAAAATGAGTTTTTATCCTCCACAGAGATTTTCTCACTGTTCACAAGATCACAGACAATTCGCAGACATTAATAACAGGAAGATCTAGAAACTCTGATATGCTGAAGAAGCCACCACCTTTCTTAGATGGGCAATAAGTTAGAGAGGCCCTTTTCTTCTACTCCTGTTAGAATATTTTCTTTATTTGCTTGCAATGGTGGATCTCATTTTACAAAGTTGCAAGGTAAAAGAAAGGCATTCTTGAAAGACAATGGACCAGTTGCTGTTAATGTACAGGTTTCCTCAACATCCAGTCCTTTTGCCCCCACCCCAATTATCCTTTATAATCCTTGTAATTTCAAATCAGTTTCCCCTGGGTGCACAGCCAGTGAAGAAGAGGCAGCAGCTCTGGTATCAAGTCAGTGAATTTCAATCTCACAAGGCTTGCACTCTGCACAGGCAGAGACACTCAGTGAAATCTTGGTGCAAAGTCAAAAGATTGGATTGCGTTGAGTGTGAGGCTTGCTAAGCAAGGAGCAAATCTTATAAATCCAAATCTTATAAATCCAAAGTTATAAAGCACAATTTGTAAAACTAGTACAAATGATCTGAAGGGGGGGGGGACGGGGGTAGCTCACATCAGTTGTGTGTGAAAGCCTTGCATTCCCCCACTGTCATTCATCTTCCTCCACCATTGGTCCTGACCTCCAACCATGTAACTAGCAGGCAAGAGGCAGGCATGGTGAGAGCACATCCTGCAGAAGCCGAGGCAAATGGGAGAAACAACAGGAAAAGGCTGAAGTGGGGACCTAGGATGGGGCAAAGAGCCTCAGCTTGGAGTTAGGGGAAGAAAATATGGAGCAAGAAATGGATGGAGACTGTTGAATGGCTTAATTTTAAGACGTCTAGTAGAGAAGCATGGTCGTTATTACGGAAATTAGGGGGAAGTAAGAAGAAAATAAATAAGACACATATTCCAGCCAATAAGATTGCGATACATATATTGTCTACATCTAGAACTCCAAGGGATAAAGTCCATACAAGACAAATTAGACATAAACTTAAGGCTCTTAAAAAAGTTAGTACTGAACAATTCAAATATTCATGCCCTTTTTCTACTTTTGAAATTACAAATGCATTTAAAGACATAAAAGCTGGTAAGGCACCTGGACATGATGGTATACGCCCTGAATTCCTTTTGCACTGTGGAAAATATGCAAAAAGATGGTTGGCAGAATTCTTTTTAGACAGCATAATGCCACATAAGATGAAGCAATCAAAAATTATTGCAATACTTAAACTGGGAAAAATAAACGATCTACCAAAAAATTATTGACCAGTAGCACTGCTAAGCACAATCTATAAGCTCCTTGAAAGACTCTTATATAATAGAATTAACCAGAAGATCCTTCAGATGATACCAGTAGAACAGGCTGGATTTCGACCTGCCCATAGTTGCGTTGACCAAGTGCTTTCACTAATAACATATACAGAGGCAGGATGTCTGACAAAGCAAAAAACGTCAGCTGTCTTTATAGATTTGAGTGCAGCATATGACACAGTGTGGAGACATGGATTGTTATATAAACTAATACAAGTAATCCCATGTCAAAAAACTATTCGACTTATTGATAATATGCTTGCTGGAAGAACTTTTTTTGTGGTAACGGGAGAGGATATTAGTGTCCCTAAAATACTAAATAATGGCTTACCACAAGGCTCGGTTCTTGCACCCCTTTTTTTTTAATCTATACATAGCCGACATACCCTATACAAAGTCCAGGAAGTTTGGCTATGCGGATGACTGAGCTTTAGCCACCCAACATAAATCTTTTGAGACAACTGAAGATGTTCTTACTACTGATTTAGAAATACTGGATAAATATTTTAGTAAGTGGAGGTTACAGCCTAACTCAACTAAGACAGAAGTAACATGCTTCCATCTCTGCAATAGATCAGCAGGCAGAGAGCTTAATGTAAGATTTAAGGAAAATCAACAATCATACCATGCATCCTAAGTACCTCAGGGTTACTTTAGACAGGATGCTTTCTCATAAAGAACATCTGATGAAGACTGCCGCCAAACAGAAGTAGAAATAACATCTTACACAAATTATGCGGCACTAGTTGGGGTTCAGCAATGGATACATTGTGAGTGTCTGCACTCCATTTGGTGTACTCAGCAGCAGAGTATTGTGCCCCAGTGTGGCTTAACAGTTGCACACAACCAGGATTGATGCACAACTGCATGAGTCAATGCGTATCGTCAGTGGGACAATACGATCCACTCCCACATACTGGCTGCCTGTTCTGAGTCATATATCACCCCTGGATGTAAGATGCAAAAATCCCCTCCTTCAAGAATACCGGAAGATTACTGATAATCTCCAGCTACCAATATTGAGTGACGCAATCTGCCTGGAGCGAAATAGGCTGAGATCTAGACACCCAGCCATTTCAACTGCTAAATCACTTGTGGAAGATGACTTTAACATCCACATGTGGAAACAGTACTGGCTAAAAAATTGCCCTCCACAATGTCGAAGCTTGCTCTGCATCTCAGAGAAACCATCTGGATTTGACCAGCCCCATGCGATATGGACAACACTGAATAGAATTTGCACGGGCCATGGTAGATGTGCAGATGCCCTTTATAAGTGGGGCAAAACGAGATTACTGAATTATTATTGTGGGGCTGAAAAACAAACTATCCAACATATAGTAACAGAGTGC